GCAGGTACCTGTAGTCTCAGCTACTTGGGAGGCTGAGGCAAGAGAATCACTTAAGCCCAAGAGTTTGAGGTTGCTGTGAGCTAGTTGCCACGGCACTCTACTGAGGGCGACATAGTGAGACTCTGTCTCAGAAAAAAAAAATAGGATAGGCTATAGATGATGTGGGTATGCATACACACACAAGTAAATACTATTCAACTGTAAAAAAGAATAGAATCTGTCTTTTGCAACAACATAGGTGGGACTGATGGCCATTATCTAAAGGGAAACAATTTAGGCACAGAAAGACAAATACCACATGTTGTCACTTATAACTGGGAAGTAAGTAACGTGTACACATAGACAGAATGTGCAGTAATGTCCCTGGAAACTCAGAAGGTTGGGAGGCTGAGGCAGATGGATTGCTTGAGCTCAGGAGTTCAAGACAAGCCTGAGCAAGAGTGAGACCCCTGTCTCTACTAAAAATAGAAGAATTAGCTGAGCATTGTAGCAGCTAATTGAGGCTGCGGCAAGAGGATCTCTTTGTCACCCTTGGTAGAGTGCTGTGCCATCATAGCTCACAGCAACCTCAAACTCTTGGACTCTTGGTCTCAAGAGGTCCTCTTACCTCAACCTCCCAAGTAGTTGGGACTATAGGCACCTGCCACACTGCCTGGCTATTTTTAGAAACAAGGGTATCACTCTTGCTCAGAGTGGTCTCAAACTCCTGAGCTGAGCCAGTCCACCTACATTGATCTCCCAGAGTGCTGGGATTATAGGCATGAGCCACCATGCCCTAGCCCAAGAGGATCTTTTGAACCTAAGAATTTGAGGTTGCTGTGAGCTTTGATGACCCCATGGCACTATACCCTGGGTGACAGAGTGAGACTGAGTCTCAGAAAATAAAAAGTACAATATACACTATTTGGGTGATGGTTACACTAAAAGCCCACAACTTGCCACCATGTAATATATCCCTATAACAAAACTGCACTTGTACCCCTTAAATTTATTTAAAAGAAAAGCCAGGTTTACAAAACAACAAAATGTCGGACATGGTCTGAAGCACCTGGGTTCCCCCTCCTCACTGTTCTGTCTCTTCTTTGAGGTTCACATTCTGTTTTCTCTCATTGTACTTCTTTTTTTGAGATAGTCTCACTATGCCACCCTTGGTAGAGTACTATGGCATCACAGTTCATAGCAACCTCAAACTCTTGGGCTTAACTGATTCTCTTGCCTCAGCCTCCCAAGTTGCTGGGACTACAGGTGCCCACCACAACGCCCAGCTAATTTTTTGTTGTAGTTGTCATTGTTTGATAGGCCCGGGCCAGGTTCGAACCCGCCAGCTCCAGTGTGGCCAGTGCCCTAACCACTGAGCTATAGGCGCCGAGCCTCATTGTACTTTTTTATATTCCCAAGTATTGTTTACCAGTAAACTGACAGGTAATTTATGTGTTTATGTTCTTTCTACCTTAAAACAGTGACAATATACAGGGTGTCCCAAAGGTCTCCATACATACATGCATAGGAAAAAATCAAAAATTGAAGCCTTTATTTACAGAAAATTCATTACAAAATTTCACAAAATATTTCTGCACTTGATATATAAATGTAAAAAAAAATTAAAAATATAAGAAGTGGGGCAGTGTGGCTCAAGCCTGTAATCCTAGCTCTCTGGGAGGCCGAGACAGGTCGATTGATTGTCTGAGCTCAAGA